TGCTGTAAGTTGCTGATCAGGATCATCTGAAAAAATCATCTGTACCATATCTACAGTAATAACTTCTTCCTAAAAATGCAAGGAAGATTTCTTATAGTGTAGTACTATGCACACTAATAGATAACATTCTAAACACACCCTGAAGTATTTACCTCTGGAATAGGAACAGTTGAGCTGACATCAGGATCCTGAATTGGGCTTTCTACCATGGATTCTTCATTTCCCGGGAGAGACACATTTCGACGTTTAAACAGCTGAACAAAGGGGAAATTTTTGGAAGACATTAGGAGTAACCAAAGTGTGGGTACTGATGACATACACCTGAAGAAATGCTTTCACCAATACCAGTGAAAGAACTTTACCTACTCCCCTTCCTATTCACCCATGCAAGGGGAATTCTATACAAAAGTTTAGATAACATAAAGGAGAAAAACTATCATATCTGTATCTCAAGAAACTGCACAGCAACTCTTCAGATAGACATTCAGAACTAGATTCTTACTAGTTACAAAGATCCTTAATTTTTTCCACAAGAAAAAGAGGATACAGATCTTTTTGCTTTTAGTCTTTTATCCCTTATAATTAGCATGCATTTTAAACAAAAAAACCAGTATTCTACAAGCTACTTTCCCCTTTCTTAGTTTATAGGCTAAAATCATAAACATAGAGGCAATGCTTGTGTTTCAGCACACTGCATTCCTCCCTTCTGTAGAAGACTACTAAGCAGCACCTGTATTTTATACCCAGCTGAGGAAAGATTAAACTAGAAACATAGTTTTCATATAGAAGAGAAAAAAAAGTATAGCTTCAAGGTGAACTTCCGAACCATGCAACATTAAATATTCTCCATGTCCAAAAATTGCTTTACAATTAGCTGCACACCTGCCTATGCTCAGAATACATACCAGCACTGCAGTATTTAATATTTAATAGTATTAAAAGTATTTAATAAACTCTTCATTTTCTGGAATATAAGCAAAACATTCACATTGACCTGTTCTCTTCTAGAAACCAAACGTAAATTTTTATCTTTGTTCCAGTACTACACTTACAACTAGTGTAACCAACAATTCTAAAAATATTTACATTTGTACCTTCAGAAGGAAATGATATGCTCTCAGTCCATTGACTAAGATTTCACCTGTAAGGATAATAATGAAACCACCTATAAATCCTGACAGTTTTGTCCCTCTAGGTGTCTACACACCTACGTTTCTGCTGCTCTACACATCCAAAACTGCAGAACAACTCCATGTTTATATCCAGCTCTATTTCAACAGGAACCTAAACCAAGGCATTCTCTCCCCTGTTTGATGCACTTATGGGTTGGGTGTAACTCTGGACACAAAACAACTACAGAATATTGAATGCAAATGAGTCTTAATTCCATTTAAACCCACAAAGGAACAAGAAACAATATTCCACTTTTGGAGCCATTCTTTCTCAATGCTTAACAAGGACACAGAAGTTCTTGGTTGAAAAGTATAAACTTGCTTGGTCTTTCTACCAGTCACAATTTCTTGTGGAGCACAAGCAGTCTCATCTCCCTGCATAAACTCATTCTCAGGTCAAGAAGAGCTGAAAAACACCAGTCCAACAAACTAAGATCAAGCAGACCATAACAGTAGTCTCACGGCTAAAGCAGCATGGGACAGGAAACACCCATTATTTTCATAATTTATCTAGGGAGCATTTACTACAAAATATGCAAACAAAACTTTCAGCAGGAACTGCAATGCATTACCCATTCAGAGATAAGTGCTCCAGTACCTCACCACTTCTGACTCTTACACCTCTGGCCCAAATAACTGAAATTCTTTTTCCATGCACCACTTTCCCAGTAGAAGGGTAAGCATTCCACCTCATAGCAGACTGTAGATCAGAGCCTGGGACACTCTCCAGGTTGTGGGAGACAAAGTCATCCACTTTAGACCAAACAGAAAAACAAACTACCTTCCTTACCCTCCTGGCAAGAAACTACTACACATTCTGCAAAGAGGAACTATGACAAACTATTAAATAATACAATGTCCCACGTACTCTGATCACTAAAAATTCAATGAGAACAACTGCAAATATTTGTATAATAGCTCAGAGACCCTAACTGATAGCCACTTTATTAAGTTGGTGTAGAAGAGCTCTTCGGCAATTTGAAGCATAGTATCAAAGATGAAAATAATCCTCTCCCTTCACACACCAAATTTGACCCCAGCTCTAGCAGAGAATGCAAGGTTTCAAATTCTTACTGCAAATATGAGTGTTCTTTTGGTCTAGTCTCACATGTATAAACCTAGACTATGGATTGATGTTAAAAGTCACAGCTCTCTCCTCTGTGTGTCCTAGTAACTTAAAAGGGCTTCTGTTCACCTTTTTATGATCCTATTGAGAGGTTCCTGGTGCTTCCCACAAATGCAAAGAAAACAGACATTCAACCTGGCATTCCTGAAATTCCTAGATTCCACTCTAGAGGATGAGTCTGCTCAAGTCCTTTCAGACCCCAGAAAATAAGCTCCACAGGCACTGAACAGTGAACAGCTCCCCAGGATGCTTACCTGCTCTTCTCTTTTCTGTTTCCGAAGCTGAATTCCTTCCTCCTCTCTTCTCCTGCGCATTTCTTGGGGATTAAGTGCATTATTCTTGTAGCTTTTCATTCTGAAGTTATCTTTAGCTGGGCTTGCCATGTTGTCTATTGAAAAAACACAGAATTACTCCAAAAGGCCACACCTGCCATCTCTTGTACGATGAAAATATCTACAGCAGCCGCTATATATTCCTGCATCTGTTTGCAATATCAAGTTCATCAACAAAAATCTTTAATGCCGAAATCACAGAAAACCTATGCCTAGATAGGCATTTCCAAACTGCAGATTAAACTACAGTTCATCTCAAGAATCAGATGCAGCATTAAAGGGCATAAGCTACTGTAAAAAGAAACTATGCATCTTACAAGCAAACTGAAAAACGAAAAGCTACTAAAAAGACATGCAGCTAAATTTTGATCCTATCAGCAAGCGAGCAAAAAAAAGTCCTTCTTCCTCTCATAAAGATGACACTAAATGTATTACAAATAAACACAAACTCAAGAAGAAACCTGCAGTAATCACTGCTTCATTTAATACCTTATGGCATTGTTTCTTTATTTTCACTATCTCACAAACATAACAGAATCTAAGGGCTATGCTTTTCCTTCTAAACTGTGTGCAGGGAAATAATTTAAGGGTCAGTAGCACCCAGACAGGCATACTCTTTTTCATTTTAAAGTAACAAAATTATTGTCTCATCCCAATTACCAGTTCTTTTAAAGGATTTAGAAGATTAGAATCTGACTGTCAGTTCAGGTATATCAGCTGTGGAAAGATAAAAGTGATAGTTCAACATTCTGTCACCAGAACGATCAAACGGAGTGGAAAAGGTTGCTAATAGCACAGTGCCTTTTTTTTAAAGCTAGAACTGCAGCCTTCATCTGACAAACTGTTAAAAACAAGACTCTACACAAACTATCATTCCTCTGGAATTCTTCTACAAGGAGACAACATGTAAACTACAGCTCCTGAGCTATGTAAAATTCTCTGTCAACTTCCATGTTGAGACAATTTGTTTTGGTGTGTGGTTTTTTTTTTGGGTTTTTTTTTTTTTAACTTTTATCAGCAGTACCAAGGACCACTAAGCAATAAACATAAGCTATGAGAGGAAAACAGACTGCAGACTTAGGCTGACATCAAGGCACCACCACAAGGACTTGGCAGCCTGCTTCACCCAAGTATCTGCTCCACAAGAACTTAAGCAACTACTGACATCTCTGCACAAGACTAAATGTGCCACTGTCTAAGAAAAATTTCTAGCAACAACCATGTAGCTTTATTTTCCCAACAATGCCACTAGATTATCTAGTCTTAGGACACCATCCCTCTCTTAATAATTCATGCCTTGCTAATTTAGTTGTGCCAATGAAACTGTCAGGCCAAGAAATGGACTGAACAAGAGAAATGCACGTTCAAAGTAACCCAGTCACCACCTCTCTGAAAAGTTACAGAAGGTCAACTGGAAGGAAGGTCCCATCGAAACTGTTTTAAAAAAGAAAAACTGAGAAATTTATAGCTTCCATCCCCCCAGAAGGCTTTGGATATAGACATAAGGGCAAGAAGACTGGCAGTCCCTGGTTTCACACCTTCTGCATCTAGATCCAAGCAAACCCGCACTTCTGTGCTACAAAACTACACCCGTTTTAACATTAAATCCCTCCACCCACCACATCCTGCACTGCACTCACTTGTTGTGCATAGCCTAACACCTATCACACTACTTTTTTTTGTTCCTTCTCGTGTACCTAAGGCTCACTAAACACGGCAGCTCGCTGTCCCTCCGCTCCCTCCCCGGTCGGACGCTGCCCACAGGCTTCGCACCGGCCCGGCCCGCACGGACCGAGCAGTCCGGGACCGCCGGGGCTGCCTGACCTGTCAGCCCCAGAGGCCGGACACACAGCCAGCCTGCCCGGCTACACAGCGACGAGCGGCGCGCTTCACTCCCGTCCCCAGCACAAGCGGTGGAAAGCCCCCTCCACCAGCAGCAAGGCAGGAAAGGGGGAGGATGGCAGAGCCCTCCTGCCTGAGGAACCGCCACCCCGTCCCAGCCCCGACCGAGCTGCCATGCGGGCAGTGCCCCGCCGGAGCCAGCGGCAGACCGGCCTGCACCGGGCACCCCGTCCCACAAGCGGTGCAGTCTCTGCTGCCGCTGCCCCTACCCGCCGGCTCTCAGCGCCTTTCCCTCCTTACCCATCGCGGCGGACACGCCCGGCGCCCGGCGCCGTGCAAACGCGAGCTCGCCGCTCCGGAGCGCTCCGCGCCGGCAGCAGACACCGATGCAAGATGGCGGACGCCGCCCCGCCGCGCGCCGCACTGGTCGGGGGGGCGGAGCCCACCCCTCCCAGCAGCCTCTGCGCGGCACGCGCCCGCCCCGGGCCGGGAAACGGCACTTCCCAGCGGGAAGCGCGCGCGCGGGAAGGCGCTGAGGGGGCCGCTCGTCCGTGTCCGCGGCGCCGCCGCCGCCATGGTGCTGTGCGACGTGTGCGGCCGGGCCCTGCCCTCCGAGGCGGCGGCCGGGCGGCACCCGCGGCGCCCGTCCCTGTGCCGCCGCCAGCCCCGCTGCCCGCTCTGCGCCGCCGCCGTGGGCTGCGACGAGCTCCGGCGGCACATGGAGACGGCCCACCCGGAGCAGGGCCCGCCCGGCCGCCGCAGCCCCGGGGCGCCGGCCGAGTGCCCGTTCTGCGGGGAGGCGGCGGGGCGGGAGCTGGAGGAGCACGTCAGGGCGCGGCACGGGCACCTGCTGGGCGCCCCGGGCACGGGTGGGTCTGTCCGCGGGGATCGGGGGTGGCAACGGAGAGCCGGCCGGGGGATAAAGTTGCGACAAAGGAAGTAGTTATGTATTTAGGTACTGTAGTTTATTCTGGGTGTGGTCAGAATTTTATTTTAACTAACTGGCCGAGTGCTGGTAGTTATTTCAGAAACTTAAAGGTGGCATCTCTGCTGGTGGGTAATAGCCTTTGAAAAGTAGCATTTGGAATGTAACAAGCTACGTGCATTGACTAGATAAACGGTGTTTCGGATGCAAAATGTGCCGGTACAGTCAACCACCCTGCAAAATCTGTCATTAAAATGTTTTTCGTAACAAACCCCCCCACCAAGAACACACCCACCCCACTCGCAGGTCGTAGCATTGAACAACATTTTACTTCCATGTGTGCAAATAATGCAGAGCTTGAATAATTTACTTGCCTGCATGCCAGTTTCTGCTTTAAAAATAGTTGTATTAAGGTGTTTTGGTTTTTTATGTATTTAACAGGTTTCAGAAGACTGTATTTTGCAGTGTTATTTTAAATGCTTGTGGTGAATTTAGGTGATTATACCACCAAGTTTTCCTCCAACCCATCATAAACATTTAGCTGGGATAAATGCCTTAAAGAAACTGCTAACACAGGATGTCAGTTCTTGTGTTTTGTGAAGCGAGGAAGGTGCAGATAAATCCTAGGGACTTGCAGTAAAGATGGAGTCAGGCATTTGTCTGTGGTTCCCAGTGACAGAACAACGGGCAGTGGGCACAAGTCACAGTATGAGGAATGCTATTTGAATGCAAGAACACTTATTTTTACTGTGAAAGTGGTTAAACACTAGAACATGTTCCTCTGGGGAATTTGTGAGGAGTCTATACTTGGAATTATTCAAAAAGTGGCTGGGAAAAGCTGTGTGTAACTTAACCTATTTAATGTCACCATTCTACCAGGGACTAGATGATCTCCAGAAATCCTTTTGAACTTTACATATACTATGTGATACCCTCGATAATAATCCTAAAACTGCAAGAAGAACAGTATTTGAGGAGATGTGGGAAGCCCAACAAAATAAGAATGACAGCACATTTTATTCTATCAGGCCAATAGTTGCCGTGTTATTACATGAACGTTAAATTTTTCTGTTAGCAGAACACATCCGCTTATTAATGGTTTGATATTTCAGACTAAGCATTTCTTGATACAAATATTATCATAGCAAATTGTGACCTGTAAGTTAAATGGGGAAAAACTTAATTGAAAGAAGGAAAGTATGTCTTCAATTTTTCATGTATTTAGATACAAATTCTTAAGTGGTGAAGAGAGCAACAGCTGTTTAGAATTTGCTGCCTTTCACTGGGGAATTTCAGTGGCAACACAAACTTCATTGCTGTGTATTTGTTTTAGATTGTATATCAGTTAGGGGATGATTCTAGCAAAGAACCACAGGAATTGCATCAATCAAGAAACTGAATTTCTTTTTCAGACACAGGGAATGGCGAACAGCTGTATGAGTGTCCTATGTGTAGTCTCACATGTACAAACATTCAGATTCTTGAAGAACACGTGGATTTACACTTAGAGGAACATAACTTTTCAGAAGGTATGTGAAAGGGTGCAGGCTTAATAATACTTGAAAGCATTTGCAGATACTTGCATGTTGTAGTGTAGAATCTCACTTGAAATGAAAAAAAATATTTCTGTATTTAAAGGGAATTTGGACACATGTATAATGAAGTTAACATAGCTAAGGTCCTGTCACTTTCCCAAGTGCTCTACTTAATTACCAGGCTAATAAGGAAATCTTTGTCTATGCATGGTTGCTAAGTAACTGAATGCATGCTAGCCAAAGGAAAAACTTGGAGCAAGACATGTTTAAAAGACAACAGTAATATATATTTGTTTTTCTAACTCTATAGAAGGTTTACATAAACGGAGTTTACAGTGGTACGTTCCACTGTGATGAGTTCAGAATTTATAGCTTATGAAAACTTCATTTTTTTCTCAATTCATTTCTGCAAATACTTTGTTGATTCATTAGTCATAGCGTTAAAGTAAAAAATCAAAATTAATTTTATTTTATAACATGGCTAAGCGAATCTTGGCGAATTCCCTATTCAGTTCTCTGATTGTAAATTTTTGTCACTTCACTGTGAGACTGCTAGCAATGGTCCTAGATGCTACTAAGTTGTATTAAAGGAACTGAGACTTCTTGCTAACAGTGAAGTGAAACACAGTAAACAAAAAGTGTCTTCTCAGTGCTACAGGTAGGTGCATTATTTGCCAAGTAATTTCTCCAGTAACTGCATGAACTTTGTCCAAGTCAAGAGACTGAGTCTTGGTAGACTGAATGCAGTCAGTCCTGTTCAGCATTCATTGCTAGTAGCTCAAAATAATGCAGGGTGCATCTCTGAAAATTAATGCCCAATTGTGTTTATGTATGTCTGCTTAGAAAGGAATCTCTAAAAATTAAACTCAAACCATTACTATCCTCCTGACCAAGTCACCTCACTTTGAAATGTTGTCCTGGGGTAGGTGGAAACATTAGAGATCTAGAGCTGGCTCAGCAGCTCCAGACTGAAGAAGATGAACGGCAGAGATCAGAAGAAGAGAAGCGAGAGAGGGAAGAATTTCAAAAGCTACAGGTACACTCTTGTTTCTAAATAGTAAACTTAAAAGCAGTTGTGCCTTGAGAAGCTGAGTATCTTGGAATTGTAATGTCCTGGAATGGTCATACCAGGTCAGACTGTGCAAGCCACACAGTCTACATTGAGATAATGGTGCAGGGATGGGTTGGAAGCAAAATCAGTCTCTTGGCAATGCTGATCCTGGCAGAGTGCTGGACGTGGCAGCCTTGAGCTACTTGGCTTTACAGCTTTGAGTGATGCTGGCTCAGGATGGGGTTGGCTGCTCCCTGTGCTTGCTGTTCTGCTCTCCCTCCACACCTGCTGCCTGTGCTCCAGCCAGCTCTTGTGCTCTGCCTCGCAGTGCAGCCTGGAGCATATTACTTGCCAGAGTGCCAAAGGCTCTGAGCATCCTGACTGTCCTTTACTGGAATACCATCACCTGCTCCAGGTCCTGCTTCCCTCTGTCTCCCATCTCACAGCCCTGGTAACTCACTTCCCACTCACACTACCTCCTTGCCAGACTGCCTCTGTGCCGATGGCTCTGCCAAGAGGGAGCAGTGGGATGTGTCTGCTCTTCCAGGTGTGGCTTTCCTGGTCCCATATTCATGTTCAAGAATAAAGCTTGGTCTTCAGCTCTAAAATAATTGTAATTCTGAAGTTTTTATGTCTCACAGTTTTTCAAAGTTACTGATAGTGATTTTGAGAAACCGCAGGGACAAAAGATGAATTTTAAAAATGTGATTTAAATCATGCACATTCCATCCCTAACAGAGACAGTATGGCTTGGATAATTCTGGTGGCTTCAAGCAGCAATTTCTAAACAATATGGAAAGAGAAGTTGATAGAGGAAGGATGCAGCCCTTTGAATATCATAAGAGAAAAGCTGACATGATGGAAAGTTTGGCTTCTGGTGTAGATGATGGGAGAACTAAGACATCAGGTAAAGATGTTGAAATTATACAACTAAAACTGTACTTTCTAGAGCTTAGATTGTATTGACGAAACCAATCTTTATATATAATTCTTTATATAATTCATTGTTTAATATTGGCTGTGTCCTAGTTCTAAGCATAATTTTCTAGATCAATCCAAATTGTTACAGTCCTAAAGTCTTAAATAAGGAAATTAAATCATATCTTGGTATATTTTTAATCTGTGTTCTAACTTGCAGGGTGTTTGTTTTGTTGTTTCGGTTTTTTTTTTCTGTGGAACTTGGAACCCAGTTGTCTGGTTAATAGATGTATTGTATGTATCAAAAGATGCACATGTCTTATCACAAGCTGTTGCCCTTGACTCCTGTGCTTGATTACTACTTAGTACTCATTGGTTCCTAATCCAGTGTAGCTGTTCAAATTTGCAGGATCTTTTTGTCTTGTGTCTCTTTTAATTGTTATATTGTGTAAGCTGGTTGCAGGTAAGCACAGTGTTCACCTCATTACAAAGCCCAAGAGAGGACTGGGAGGAGTAGACGTCTACTTGATACATCTTCTCTTAAGAGTTAAATGTTTTATGATTGGTGTAGAAACACAGGGCAGATGGGTCTTTGTGTCCCTTTCAAGAGGCTCCCTTGTCTTTCCAAGACCACAATTCAATCGTCTTTGAGCCTATTGCTAGTGGTTCTGGCTTACAAAATATCCACTTGGTTCTTGACAGCTAAAATAAAATGTCTTCTGTGAAACAGATTGCGTGGAAATAACACATTTAAAGATTTCATTCTTGGTAATGGTGTAGATTTCAGAGAGGTTCTTAGAAAATTATTTGTGGTGATTATGGAATAATTCTCTTCACAACATCATGGCTGTGAAAGGGCTTTGAGGGTTTACATATATGAATTGGAGAGAATATTCCCAAGCATATTTTTTCATGTAACAAAGGAGAACTTGGAATATCCTGCAAGAGGATTATTTCAAAATATTTACAGTAATTCTCAAGTTCTGTGACATTTCTGCCATTCCTTTTTTTTTTGTTGTTGGTTTTTTTTTTTTTTTCCCCTCTTAGTTTCGTCCTTTTTTTTTTTGTTGTTGTTGTTTTTTTTTTTTCCCCTCTTAGTTTCTCCAGGAAAAATAAGTTGGGGGGAATAAAAGGTTTACATAGTGTATGCATAAGTATTGCCATATTTTTAAGATGATATACTGGAGGTGGCAGGGGCATAGGAATGCTTTATTGGTGACCTACTTTTTCCATATCATTGTAATAGTTCCTTTGACTATCACAGTTCATAATTTAGTCCAAGCTGTTTAACTTCAAATAATTATTGTGTAGCAACAGTGAAAAAAATAGATTTAGTTTTGAAAGCTTCATAGCACATAAATTCATCAAAGTAAAGACCACTGAAATTAACTAGGGGCAATTTCCACTGCTTTTGTGATTTGGGCTCTAAATGTAATCAAGTTTTAAAATAAATTGTATTAATCTGTATCTGTTCCAAGTTGGGGAAGGAATCTTCTGGTAACATTTTACAGATACACCTTTTACAATACATTTTACAGATAAACTTCATATTTTGTCTTCTTTAGGAGTCATTGAAGCATTGTGCAAGCACTATCAGAGTGAGAACAAAGATGTGAGGCGTGTATGGCTTTCAGCAGGAGTAGATCACTTCCACTCATCTTTGGGTGACAGAGGCTGGGGTTGTGGTTACAGGAATTTCCAAATGCTCCTTTCCTCACTGTTGCAAAACAGCTTCTACAACGACTGCCTGAGAGGTATTAAACAAAATGCTGCTTGTTCCACGTACCTTGGATGACGACCTGCTGACTGATGTTTTGCCTTTTCATTTACACAGCAAGTCTTACAAGGTCAATGATACCTATTAAATGGTGGTTACACCACTGGAACTTAGTGTGGAAGTGTCAGAGGTGAATACTGGCAAGAAATGATGTGATTGAAGTTTTGCCTTTAGTTTTCTTGGTGCATCTTTGTAACATCAAATGCCTGTTATAAAAGAAGCTGAATAGTTTTAATTAATAGACTATTTCAGTCACTGTAACAACAATTCAAAAGCTTTTCTGTTCCAGATACTACACTAATTCCTAGTATTCCAAAGATTCAGTCCATGATTGAAGATGCCTGGAGAGAAGGTTTTGATCCTCATGGGGCATCTCACTTCAACAACAGATTACATGATTCCAAAGCATGGATAGGAGCATGTGAAATTTATTCACTGTTAACCAGTCTCAGGATAAAGTAAATATTGCTTTTTGTTGTGGTTGTTATTATTAACTGCTGATTTAAGTGCTGTACCTTTAAAGGTTAGAATTCCCAACTGTGTGACAACAAAGCCACCTTAGTGACTAAATTTAACCATATATAAACAAATCAGATTTAATGCAGCATGAAGCTGTATAACTGCTTACAGGTACATGTAACTGCTTATAGGAGGTACATAAACTGAGTAACTGCTTCGATCATTGAGACTTGATGCTGAATTATGCCACATATGCATAAATTAAAGCATTGATGAAGAACATAATTTCTCTGAAAGTTTCTTTTCAAGAAGAATCTAAATTTCAGCTATTTTCTATGGCTTTTAATTGGATTCTATAATGTATATGTGTAACATATTAAAAAAGTAGCATTAATTTTTGCAAGTTTCACAAGTTCTTGTTAGACTGAACAGAGCAGAGCACTTGTTTCTTATGTAATACATTTTCCAGTTTGTGACAGTATATGTTTCATTGCTTTGTAATTATGTGTCCCCTACTCCTGTATTGAAAAATAAGGAAGTTGTAAGGACCACTGGGTGCAGGAGGCAGGGACCCAGAGGTGAAAAGAAGCAACCTGCTTGAAATTTTGTTGTTTTCATTTTCAATGTTTTGTAGGTGCCAAATCATTGACTTTCACAAACCCACTGGCCCTATGGGTACACACCCTCGCTTGTTTGAGTGGATTTTGCATTACTATTCTACAGATAATGAAGGTGGTGCAAAGGTGGTATGTACTTCCAAACCACCTATCTACTTGCAACATCAAGGTCAGTGTCACAATGTGCTGGTTTCTTACTATTATCTATCTCTCTTTATAGGTACTGCAGTTCAGAGCAGCAATTTTTGTCCTTCTTCGTTGAATTGAAGGCTTGGTTTTATTTCCTGTAATTTTCCTATTTAGTAAGAGCAACATTAAAGTTTGTATTTTTATTGGATGGAAGAGCTGAATGTGATTGGGATCACAACTTTTTGACATGTAATCTTATAACTATCTTCTTAAATTTTGAGTAATGCCTTCCTTGATCTGAAAATTAGTCATAAGTTACAAGGTAGTAAATGGGATTTATGTGTTTCTAAACTACTGAAACTCTTGTTTTGATAATAGGCCACAGTCGTACTGTTGTTGGAATAGAAGAGAAGAACAAAAGCTTATGTTTGCTACTGTTTGACCCAGGGTGTTCTTCCCAACAAATGCAGAAACTCCTGAAACAAAACAGTGATGGAAGTGGTCTCAGACTACTTCGGAAATTTGTGGGTAGCCTAAAAGAAAAGCAGTATCAGATAGTGGCGGTAGATGGGGTGCTCTCTTTGGAAGAGAAAGCTGTAAGTATCTCAGAAAACAGTTTCTGTTTGTGAAAATTTAGGACCATCTGCATCTTTTCTTTAAATGCATATGCATATATGGTTGCATGGTGGATTTTTTGCATCTTTTCACTTTCCTTGATCTTTTTCTCTCCTGCTTTCTGCTTATATAATCCTGGGATATCAAAACCAATAACATTTTGCATATAAACGGATGTCACCTTGATCCAACTGACAACTTTTAGGTCTTGTATGAAGCTTTCAGCTGTTTGCAGACGTAAATTAAGCTTTTTTAAAATTTTCCATTTTCTTACAATGTTTTCTCCTAAATAACTGACTGTGAGCATGTAAGTTACTTACAAACACTCACAGTGCAAAATTACGTTCAGAGGTTTGAGCTGTTGAAATTTTTATAAATCCTATCCATGTGTTTGACTTTGGGGCATTTTACGTTTTTTAAGGCCTTAGAAGTTTTCAGCAGATTGGTTTTTTTTTCTTAAGCTTTTTCTTTCCTACACTAACAAATTGATTCTGAGGACCTATGTTCCAATTCTGTGGTGTCATATCAGCACTGTTCAGCATGTTCAAGCTTCAGGACACACTTCCATTTAAACTGTGAAATAACTGGCAATTGAATCACTTGCTCAGCTATATTTATATTTAATGTGTATGTTGAAATGAGGTATTGTCTTAAGTGTTTTCTGGCTCTGAACATGTCAGAAGTATCAGTAAAGTATGAACATCCTCTCCTCCTACTGGAAAAAGAAACCTTAAAATTCAGGACACGGTGTAAAAAAGGTGTTGTTTGGGATTTGGTGAGGGTGGTGGTGTTCATTTCATTTTGGTTTGCCACTTTTTTCTTCTTTTCAAAAATTTTATGTATGTTTAAAAGTATCAGTTGTTCAGAGTGTTGTCTTGGAAGCTCCCATTTAAGTAAGATGGAATGTGACCTGTAACACTCATTAAGATTACTAAATGCTAATTTGGAAGAAGCTCTTTGAAGTGCTGCTTTTGTTCATTAAAGTATTTTCTTTTCCTCTCTCCCCACCTATTTTTAGGCTCGCTGCCGTGCTTCTCAGGTCTTAACATCAGAGAAGATTCCTTAAAGGATACCTTTGTAACATGCTTCTGGAATTTTCTGGGTGCAAAGCATTAAACTTCTGGACTGTGACCCTAACCCAACAAATTTTAGACTTAAACTGTGTCTCCATAAATGCTTGGGAGCTCTGGGAATGCACAACACTGGAGAAAACCTGTAGTTTTTGTGTTCAGTCAAAAATCTGGCATCCTGATACAAACGTAACTCTAAAGTATTGTGGTCCTTATCTCACTAGAAAATGTGTAATTTTCTTAGTTGCTTAGAATTAGCAACGCCTACTGTCTTGTAGCAAATTATGCACCGTTGGTAATGAGCAGTGGAGAAAGATACTGTGGAGCTACTTCATTGGAATTCCTGGTCATGGTTTGCCTCTAAATGTGTTTATGTTGCCACTGTGACCAGTCTTCCGTTTCTTCAGGGTTCAGTCTGTTGCACCAGGGATTAATTTACTAGTAAACTTCTCTTCAATTTGCTGGCTTCTCTAGATGTATCATTTGAATTCATGTGCTTAGGAAGTGGATCAGTGTTGGCATTGGCTAAGAGGTCTAACAAAGCAGCGTCCAAAATATAGTGTGTGTGCTTTAGGTGCTGTGCAAGACAATTCTTGGGAGTAGAGGAAGAAAATATTCTTTTTGTACCATGAATTAATAAAATTATTATATTTTTTAAAAGTGTTTATTCTATCTTCACTTCATCCTTTTTTTTTTTTTAATTTCTGTTTTTTCTGTCTTTTATAATGTATATCCCAAAAGGACACTGCCTTTTGACTAGTGCCTTTGTTGTGCTGGGTTAATGCCATTTAAGAGACTGGAGCTGTCTGCTGAAACAAATGTCTTGGGTGTTTGAGGCACTTTACTGTACCTAGGATGTGCTGCTCTGGTTGAATGTGAGAGCCCTGCCCCTCCAGGAGGGGAGCTGAGGGCTGGGGGAGTGTGTTGCAGAGGCAGCACAGGGTGTTTTTGCTTTACCAGCTCTATCATGCATCCACCTATTGTAACTGGAGTTTAGATACATCCCTTTCATTTAGACTGCCTTCTATGTTGACACCTAAATACAGGTGTAAGAGCCTTAACTGCTTTCTCTCACGTTTCATGTGCTCTGGCAATAAGAATTTGTCATTTTTGGAAGCAGTGAAATGTGAACATATATAGATATTACAATCCATAAATCATTGATTTTTCTGAAATATGCATAAAATTTTTGAAATAGTATGAAAATGCATTTGTTCAGTAAGGTATGTGGAAGTGGCCTTTAAGCTGTGAAAGGTTTAAATACTTAGGACACTAGAGGGGCTCAGACTAGGGAAGAGTTCCTGGAAACTGGGGGACTGTCAGCTCCTGTGTCAGCCCTGTTCTGTGAGGCAGGTGTCAAACAAATGGAAGGAAGGAAAGAAAAGGAGAGATGCCAATAATGCAGTCATAATTTGGATGCAAAATCCTAGGCTTTGCAGCATGCTTGAGATTTTACCCCCAGAGGCACCATCCTCTGAATTTTAACAGAGCTCTGGCAGCAACTACTCAAAACACCCAGCCTGTTCAAAACTAAATTTGCTGTGGTCAAGGTGCAGTATTGCAACTCACTATTGCCTCCATGCATTACAGTGCATGCTTTGGACTGAGGCAGTCAAAAACAATATACAAGAAAGGTTGTCAGTACCAGGATTTTAAATTACTGTAATTATGTTCAAGTTTATAAATGGGATTTTAGTCAGTTAATACAAATTAGTTTTCAATTTAATCCAAAGTAAATAAGCAAACTTAAATATCCCAGCTAAAAAACCCTTCTCTGGAAACTAACATACACACACAGTCAAGCTTATTCTCAGTCAAATTCCCTTTTTATTTCACAGATATTAATTGCTAACAAAGCTAAACAAATCTGCAGTTCAGACTGAGTCGCTACAACTTCTTCCAAGGACCTGGAGGAACGGACTTTATGCAATTTCTTTGTCACTTCAACACTTATTATTTCCTCGGCTTTGAAATGTAACAGCAAAAACACATTTTCACATTTTAACTTGTTTTACATAATTTTAACATTTTTTAAGCTATACATTCTCTGCATGAAAACCAATAAATATGTTAGTGTGAAAACAGACTAGAAAACTTCATTATTCTAGAAATATAAGTCATGAGAAACTTTCATATGTAAGTGACTTATCCGTGATCCACTTGAAAATTTTCTGATTATTACACTTGCACAGACTACGCAGGATCTTGGATTTGGTCCAAATTTAGAGAGCTCCAATTCACTCCTTTTATGAAAAAACAGCAGTTTTAAACATACATAACTGGAAATGGAAAGCAGCCTTAGGATTAAATGGGGTTTTATGCAGCTGAATTGAGACATACCAGAAATAAGTTCAGTGCTCAAGAGCATTTTAAAGCATCCCAGCAATTACACAGGAAGCTGGATGTAGTAACTATGAAGCTTTCAATCCAACTGTCTCTTTGGAAAAGACAAGATTTAACATCACATTTGCACACAATTTTTTTTAATATATCTGGTAACTCTGTTGAAGCACAGATCCTGCTTATTGCTTTGAAACATAAAACATTATCATTGAGACCTAGATGCTTATCTAGAGTTCATAGTAGCCAAAATTAAAAAGATCAAAGGGACGACTGTAGGAACAAAGGCACATGGTTAATTTATAAAAGTATATACAGGGTACTTGAACACTTATTTCTATCTACTAGAAGTTAATTTGCCTTGAATGAAAAAAAATAAAACCATATTAAAGGAGGTCATCCTAAACAGATGTTCTCGAGTGATATGAGCAGAGAATCTTATAACCATTAAATGAATTCCATAATTAAACTTCTCATATTGACTATGGAATTTTCAAATACCAAAATTCATAAATTTATTATTCCTCTAAGCAATGTGATACTTTAGTGCAACCCTCTTCAAAGATTGAAGCTGGCACAGTTAAGGCAGTCTACTAACAGTGTTTAAAATTCAGCACACAGTGTTTAATCATTGAGGTGCCTGTCTCTCTGTTTGGAAAGCTGTCTTTTGACACCATCATCCTTCTAGCGCTGCAGTTTCAAACACAGCATGTTTAAACACTGCAGTTTTTGCAGTGTTTGGGCTTTTTGGAGGTGGTAAGTGAGTAGTCCAACAGCTGTTAGTTCCAGAAACAACTGTGAAGGATGGGCAACATCCCCAACTTGATGTGTAGCTTTACTGCATTCTGTGCTAACCTTCACAGGCTGCCAGCACAATGCTTCTAAAACTACACCATTTACATTCAAACCTATAGAGCACTCTGTAAACCCTGCTGCTGTAATGTGCACTCCACTCATAGTGTTTCAATACAGTCTGCTGCCAAAAGCAAACTGATTTTCCTAAGGTGGGTTTTGATTTTTCATAGAAATTCATTGAGGCACACATTCAAAAAAACCCCAAACGATCTCTGAATAAACCAACCAAACTTCAAGAGGCTTCACATTCTGATTTTTTTTTCCCCCTACTGACCTGATATCACCAGTTTGAAAATATTATCCATGACTATAGCAAAAAAATTCATTCTAATTGTATGGAAATGGTTTCCACTAGACTTTAAAAAGGCTATACAACAAAGGTGACTAGTGCTGTCTATCTACAGCTGATAAATTGGGGCACCAGAACTGACTTGAATTATTAAAAGATTCCACAGGAGGAACAAAAAAAAAAAAAAACTGCATAGTATGTGATCCCTTTTATTCACCAAAGCTGCCCATGTTTATCCCAGGTGGAAGACAGCAGAAAAGCTGCTCAGCATTCAGATGCAGGTGTGTTTAGTGCTTGCTGTAACATCTTTCCATCTTGCATGTTGCCACATCTCTTCAAAAGACAATTACAGAAGTAGGGAGAAAAAAAATAGAGAAAATAGAAAAGCATTTTCAGACAGATCAGTATTTCTCAAATTTTTCATTTGAAATATTAAAGTAAATTTATTTATAGTGAAAGTCATCAGAAGACCATTCTCCTGGATTTAAAATATGTTGGTTTTTTCTTTGGAAACAAATGAAGAAAAAAAGAAAAACAATACACATTACTAAAACCACAGATGCTGTGGCTTTCCTGCCTGCCCCTCTCTCCTTACATATGTCCATACTGATGACAGAATCAGTTCAAATAAGTCTAATCACTATCTAAATTAACAGGGTTGTAGTCAGGGTCATCCTCTTCATCCTCCAACTCTAAATCATCCATTTCTTGGAATAAAGATTCATCAACCTCCACATTGTTTCCGGCTGTAAGGAACAGAAAGATACTTTAATTTCACGCAACAAGGAAAACATGAACAACAACAAAACATACAAGATGTTTTCGTATTAGTTCCTCAGCGTAGGTAGCTGCTAGCTTACTTGGCTTTTATACATCAAACAGATATGGAAAAGTAAATGCTACATTTTATCTTTTTATAGCTGAAGTTTTTTTTTCATTGTATCAAAAAAACCCAGCCAAGAGAAATGTCACACCATTGGGAACATGAAATTAACATTCACATTTGTCAGAAGCAGAGATTCTCTCTCCCCAGGAGAGCCAAAGCAGGAGCTCAGGACCTCACAGATGGTATAATTACTACCATCCTAGTGAGATAAATGCACAGGGTTCATAAAAAATTCCTTACACACCATATACTGACATGCATGTATTTGCTTTCAGATTTAAATTTTAAAAGCAAGATGAAGCTTTGGCTACTTTCACATTTTCTTCTGAAAGAGATGCTTCTGACCTAAAGATAAAACTCGAGGACTGCTATTTTAATTTTATGTATCAACAGTGACATCTTCTGGTCACCAAATAAAGTTTCTATTATTTCACTGGACTTGAAGGCACCTATACAAGATAATGCCATTATCCTCTGAAAATTAGTAGTACATGCTACTGAAATATTAAAACAGACTTAGTAACCTGTTGCATCTATGACAGAATGCAAGCAGCAATAAGAAGGTGAGTTTTAATCACCAGTGGCAATAGGATTACAAATTAATACATTAATCCCAAATCATCTGGGCACAGAAACCAGGTAGAGGTCTGCTCCTCCCCTGAGGAAGCCAAATGTGCCATCAACAAACCATCTTCACTTCAGGTATTTTGTAGGAAGACAAGATTGAATTATTCCCTGTTAAAGAAACTAAACTTCCCCATAACTACCATTTCAAGTTTACACTCACTGACATTCATAAACTTCCTTTTAATTGTTACTTACAGAGAATACTCTTGACCATCTTCTGCCTGTGCTTTGTGATACCAGTAGATAATGCAGCTGCATTAAAGATCTGTCTTATCTCAGAACTCAGGTATTCTAAACTAGGACACTAAAAAACGGTACAGCAAATTGAACAGGTATGTTACTGTGAGTATGCATGCTTTTATATGCTTTATCTCCAGCTGGTTTTCCAAATTTAATATTTTTCTGGCACAGGCTTACAGAATTTTCATCTGGCACCAGGTGAGTATTTTAGGTAAGGTAAGAGGCCCATCTGCAGAAACCATGAAAAAGAACTGGGTTGCACAGAAGCAAGTAATATTTATTTTGACCCGCAAGATGTTTACTATTGATGTTGAGGTTCAGAGAAAAGGTGACAAAAGTTCAAGACCTATGCTTGAAGCCAGGGAAGGCTGGCTATTAGAAAAAAAAAAAATCAGGGCTGAGTTGAGGTTTTTTATTTTCTTTT